AATGCTGTTGTATTTTTTTGTGGAATATGATATTCTAAAAAGACGAACAAAAAAACACAAGACTCTCCAGTATTTAGAAGTATCCAAACATAGAATATGCTACCTTAAGACGTTACAAAAAACAAAAAAGTGATGTGCAAAAAACTAAAAATCTATTTACTTAATTGTGATATTATTCCTTAATACTATTTAATTTTTATTTTTCTATACATTTTTTATATCTATTTATAGACTTACATATATAAAAAACATATTTTTATACTTACAAAACTTACATAACATAACTGTATTACATTGTAAAACTTTTGTAGGGCCTGTTATCAGTATGGCTATACTGTTTTGGGGTCAGAAATAAATAAATAAATAAATATCTATTTAACTTACCTACTCAAAATTTATAAATATAGGTATACCTAAATAAAATTGGGAATGTGTACAATAAAGAAAAATACCTACCAAGGTTTAAATATTTTATTGATTTGAAAATAATAATAATTTAGAAAGTGTTTTTCTAATTAAATTTGGTCGCATAGCCATGGTTTGAACTTTACATAGATTAAAAATTCTTATTTTAAGGTAACAGAAAATAATAGTTTCTACTAAAATTATAATATGATTTTCCATAATACTATTGTCTGCCAAATGATTAATTAGGTTTTTAAAAATACCATTAAGAACTAGTTTTGGGTATATTACGAATGACATTTTATGAAAAAAACTATCTTCATTTGGAACTTTTCCATCAGTTGCAGATAAAATTTGCCTAAAATAAATTTCTGTTTCTTACAAACTTTTATAACATCTGCTGTTGGTACTAGGAAAGCGTAGAGCTGCCATGTCAATATTAAAAAATATATTTGGGAAAATTTACACGTTTTCTGTAAATTTACAATTTTTCTGTAAATTTACACTTTTCTGTAAATTTACACTTTTTCTGTAAATGTACACTCGGTCAATTTCTGCCATCGTTATCCTACGAGTAGTTATGGCGGGTTTACGATTCACTCGCGTGCGTTTGGAGGTCGCGTTTACGCGAGCTAGCCAACGCGCGCGACGGTTTTAACTCATGGTGGGCAATGGGATCGTTTATAGGTGACCTCGCGTGCGTTAAAAGGACGCGTGCGTCCAATCTCAGCCAGTTTGACGCGTCTTGGTTTTTATCCGGGGAAAAAACTTTACGCCGTAAAAAGATCGCGCGCGTTGAATCCGATATCACGTGACATGGCCAGCCAATGGCATCAGCCGTAAAATTAGCAGACGAGCTAAATTCATTAATATTGCAGTTCGGCGAATTAAAAATGGGTCCATTTTCCCAAAGTATGAGACATCAGACGAAATCAAAAAACACGCACTAAGGAACCAGCTGACGTTTGAAGGTGAGCAAACGCGCGCCTTTGAAACTCGTAAATGGGGTCGCGTCAGGAAGAACGCGTTGACGCGAAGGCCCAGGAAACACACGCAAACCTCAAACGCACGCGAGTGACTCGTAAACCCGCCATTACAGCCGAACTCCGTACTACGCCAGTTCAGTTGCAGACGACAGTATTGTATTGTGCATGTTTCTCGGCATGGAAGAATTTGTGGAGTTTCTGAAGGGCAGGGGAATCCCCGATTTAATTATAACACAATTTATTGACGAAAATGTAAGTTCTATCGGTTTTACCTATACTATTTAATAGTAAATGAGTGAATTATACATAAGAAACAACAATTAGTGAGCCAAATATGTACGAATTAACGTAATTTTAGCTTTTAAAATTGGATTAAGAGTATAAGTTCTCTTCCTCGTATTTAATCTTTTACCGAGGAAATTCATAAAGTAACTAATTGGATAATAAAAATGTAAAATTCAGGTAACCTAACCCTACTTTTTATTGGCTTGCTGTTTGCATCCAATGAAGTAAATTAAATGCTATGTATTATGTATTATTAAATGACTTATTATTATTATTAACTATTTGCCAAAGAGTACCCTACTCTTTGTTTTTACTAAAGATGATTCACTAGTCTAGGTAACAAGTAATTACTTAAGCTTATAAGCTTATAAGGTACCTATTACCATAGAAAAAGGATATATATATATATTGAGGTTGAATTTCACTTTGAATTTTGATAAAAAAATATGGTTCGAGTTATTTCTGGGTTGTGTACCAAATTTTATTCAAATAGGACTTAAATTATGCGGGTAATTTAAAGAAATAAAAATTAAAAATTAAACTTTGACAGGCCGTTACTTGGAAACCATTGACAAAAAAAAGTTATATGACTGTTGTATGGTAGAGAAATAATTTGTCATAGCAAATTATAAATAAACACTTAGGTACCTACTTTAGCATATGCACAGAAAGTGTTTATAATTTGCAATTTCAAATAAGAATTTTTACTGTACGGTTTTTGCAAAAACTGATAATTAAATAATTGAACTAAATCAGAAATATTAGCCACAGACTGTGTGACCCACAGTATATATGCAACCAGGGTTGCCAAATTGGCTATTTATAGCCAATTAGGCTATCTCTAATCCTTTAGCGTGATTTATACACTCTCAGTTGGCGTTGGCGCTCGCGGTTCGCGTTTCAGTCGTAGAACACCATTCAAAAAGTTTTTTAAAAGAAGGGTTGTGAAACAGTTTTTTTATTAAATCCATAGTAATAAATATTGGCTATTTTGGCGGAGCTAATCCCGAACTAATTCCGGACATCCTAGGCATGCGCTATTTAAAATTTGGCGTTCAAAATGTAAATTGCGCATGACAAATATTAAAATGCGCATGCATAGGATGTCCAAACTAGTTCGGGATAGTACAGCGAAAACACATATTACCTTTATCCTTGAGGTAAATAACTAAAAATAATATTAACTTTGATCGCTACATCAGTATCAGAGATAAAGAAGGGTGTGTATTTTGAAAAAGTTAAACAATCTTGAACGGCACCCAGCGCAAACGCCGACGCCAACTTTGCTTTATGTATTTTCTTTATGTTTAACCTTCAGCGCCAACGCCAATTGAATGTTTATAAATCACGCTTTTGGCTCTCAAAATTTTTAAACGGCTACATGCTAGTACTACTAGTGTTGAACACTACTAGCCTAGTAGCCACCTCTACCGATTTATCGGTGGATCTACCGATTTTCGAATAGATCTACCGATCTACCTATTCCTATTCAAAATATCCCGATTTTTCAAAGTTTTTAAATATGTATATTTTTAAAATACCATTCGATTTGGTTAAAAATGTTATTAAGTTTGCTTAAAACGTCTCCATTTCCATTCCATTTCAGTAATATTTAGCAACATCTAATGTTGCACTTAAAAGTCATAAAATAGATACAGTATAGAGCAGCGGTTCTTAACCTTTTTGGCTGGCGACCCACAATTCAAAAATATAAGAAGCTCGCGACCCGATAAAAAATAAAATCATCAATTTTCTACATTTTCTTAATTTAAATTAAGGATGCAGTGATTACGGCGCGCTTTTTCAAAAAGTCTCGCAAGTCCCGCGACCCATCTCGATATGGCCCGCGACCCAAATTTGGGTCGCGACCCGAGGTAAAGAAACGATGGTATAGAGTATCGTACAGAATTTTACAAAATCTAAGTCATCCTTCATTATATCTGATCACAGCTGTGTCACCTTGGTTATATTAGCTAAAAAAACTTATAATTCAGGTTGAAAATAAAATTTTATACAATACTCGACGAAAATTTCATTACTGTCTCGAGATTTAGTTACTACCTTATCTCTCGACTAGTAAATAAACATTTTCCGTCTCGTATTGTAGTATACTATTACTGTACCGTTTTTTACAAAGACTGATAATATTATAATTAAATATCGGTACGGTAAAACAAGTTGTAATTTTGCAGATATCGAGCTCAAATAAGATTTTTTTCATCAAAATCTTGAGTAAAATTTAAACTTGATAGTAATATCTTAAGGTACATTAGACTTGGATTTACCAGTATTATTGTAAAATCTAGTCAATCTAAGGTAACCTAGAAATTAATACCACGTGCGACTTTCACGTTTCTCCAATTGCATTAATTTAAATAATAAGTGGACCTGATAAATTATTTGCCTTCAGATTGATCCGGCAGCTATCATGGTTATGCCAGATGATACTTTAAAGATGTTTTTGTCAAAATTAGGCGATAGGATTGCCATTAAAGCCTATTGCAAAAAAGAATTAGCACCAAAAAAGCAGAGCCTAATTGATAGGTTAAAATTAAAGATGTCGACGCCGGGAAATAATACCGCACACAAATCAAATTCTAATACAAAATTAAAAACAACAAGACTGATTGAAGTGGGTTGGGTTTGTTCAATGGATAGAGAATCCTATATCCAGGTGCGTAAGCTGCAAGGAGGTGGCACCCGGCAAATTGAAATTGAAAAGTCTGCAACGGTACAAACTGTACATGAACGGGCCTTGGATCTTTTTTTTCCTGTTGGAAAATCCACAAAAGGATATCTAGCTGATTTTGAAACTAAAATGGTGGATTTTTCTTTACAAGAATTGGATGATCAGCTAACTATCGAGGATTATTTTTCTCGCACCGCTTTGACAAAATTAAGGTTTTATTTGGCTTCTAAATTTATAAAAAAAAGCTTCTCCTCCAGTTAAACGCACCCGAAGGCGCAGGGCTGCCTTATCAAGTCCAAAAAATAAAATTTTGTCAGATGATGAAAATAAATCAGATGCAAGCAATGAAGAACCTAGAACGCACGAGGCAGACCCTGAATTATTTTCCAATCGGACAACAAATGAAGACTCTATACCGTTTTTGAGTTTGGAAACTAATGATGATTATGCAGATCTTTTCGACCAAGACGTAACGTATACTTTTACATATTTTTTTTATTATCTCCTTATTTTTCCAGTGCCACCTAACGACAATTAGCGGTGAAGAGGAAAACAGCACGAACCTAAGCATACACACTGATCACACCGATGGCTGGAATAATTATCCTTACTGCCGCCAATCGTCTGGAGTTGTAATGCAGACAGACATATCCGAACAGCAAATTCCCAGAGATGACCTAACTTCGTTAGTAAATTCAATTCTTGACTGTTGTGAGACTCAGCCCTTACCAAACACCACCAATACAGAAATTTGTAAGGCTCAAACGATTTCTTCACTTTTGAAACATTTACAACAAAACATCAACACGCATAAAACATCACAGTTTAACGTATACAGAGAAGATATATTTGGATGTTGCGTTCAAGCAATGAGAAGAGCCGGATTTGATCCATTTAATAAAATTTCAGTCAAGTTCAGTGATGCTGAGGGTACAAGTGAAGGTGCAGTTGATGAAGGAGGTCCTTGCAGAGAAATGTTCAGATTATCTCTCAACTGGTTGAAAGACAGCGGGATGTTCTGCGGTGCCCACAAAAAAAGTTTGAATCTTTGTGGAAATGCTTTGCACAAAAACATGTATTTCGAAGCAGGTCGATTAATCGTATTATCCCTGATTCATGGAGGGCCAGGGCCTCATTTTTTCTCTGAAACACTTTTTACTCTATTATGCGGCCAGATTGCAGTTCCAACACTTGATGATATTGATCGAGATACAAGTGAAAAAATTACGCAATTTTAAAATGCCAAGGACCTTGATGAACTACAAACAATAATAGGAGATAGCGATGTTTTTTCTCTTGCCGGATTTCCAGTTATTGTCAAAGCAGAAGAGCAAGAAAAAATTGTCCAAGGTACCTAATATGTACAATGTACATTGTACATATATTTAACTAATACCGAATTTGTTAAAATAACTTTAAAGCATACTGTTACGAAATCGGATCCGAAAATAATCAAGTCTTATTAAAACATCAAACTTTATTTAACAAACACTTATAACACTTAAATACAAAATACACTCCGTATACTAAAACATACTATTTACTGTTTTTTTACTTGTCAAGCGCTTCCAATTTTTCGTTATATTATGTTCAAATTTCCGTCAAAAAATCCGTCAGCCGTTAATAGTTATTTACGATATAAGTGGGATAAGAGCTTTATTAACGTACGCATGCGAAATTTGCCCAACGAATGCGTAGCACGAGTTGGGCAATCGCAAAAGTACGTTAATAAAGCGTTATCACACGTATATTGTACAAATTTTTATCTACGCCTTTAAATGAAAAAATTAAACGGTAATTATTTTTGTCTAAGACTTAATTTAGGGTTATTTTGACATTTTGACATTTTGACTTTTTTATTTGATTGGTTAAAAGCAGAGAAAAACGCGTGCGTTAATGAACTTCTTATCTCACTCAAAATGAGTGGGATAAGAAGTTCTTATCTCACTGGCGTAGATAAAATATTTTTTTCCCGTTGCCCTTCATTAAAATTAGAGTTTCCGCGAATAGTTGTTGTACCCTATGGCGAATAGTCGTTGGTAATCCAGAAATATAGATAATTGTTAGATTCACGTAGCTTAAAGACAACTGTATGTATACATGTTATTGTTATTTATTATCAATTGTGGTATCGGTTTTGATGTCGAATTATTTGCCATTATTCGCCATTAATATTCGACATAAAAACGATACAATATTTAGACATAAATAACAATCACCGACGGTGATCTAGTGGTTAGTGCTGCTGACTACCATAAATTATAAAAAGCACAAACTGACAGTCTCTAATTTTTTACACATAAAACATCTAAACAATATTGCCCCTGTATCGGATGAGCGAAGGGAATAGAGAGCTGCGAGACAATTTCAAATTGTATCATGGTTTCAGGTAGGCCAAAACATCGGCCAGGGGGGTTGCTATATTGCGTTACAACGTATATATAGTGGCCTCCTTTATGATGAACATTACGTGCCAGGCACATTTGTTTTGTTCATTTTATTTATACACCTTTATATACTTGAAATTACTTTTACAATTTATTATATTTTACAATAACATAAATAAATATTTTTGATTTGATTTGATTTGATTTGCTGACTACAAGCCGGAGGTCGTGGGTTCGAATCCCACCAGGAGTATGGCTGTTTATTTGTGTTTGTCCTATTGTGTATTAGTCCTTCAGAGGGAACTTTAAGCCCGCGGTCCGTTCCTACCCCTAACCCGCACAAGCCATTCAGTTGGCTTATGGGACTTCTTAAGAAGTAAGGGTGGAACTAAAAATGCACTTTTGTATATAAACTTTTTTTTTGTATATACGGAAATCTAACGATTATCTATATTTCTTAATTATAAATATAATATCCCGATTTTTTCTCTCATATATGGCTTTTAATTGCACTATTCGCCATACCCAGACCGCAAAATTCCTTTCCGTGCACATGTCAGAAATATTCCCAGGATTATTCCAAGCGTACCAGAATATTCCCATATTCTCAAAGAATGTTCCGGGAATGTACCGGATCATTCCAGATAAGCAGGGAATATTCCTGGAGCCTTGAGAAAGATTGATTGCGGTCTGGGTAGGGTACAACAACTATTTGCGGCAACTGATTGATTCAAAATCCGTTGGATCTGACGGAAAATCCGTTAAGTTGGCAACACTGACGTCGCGTTTGTTTAAGTAAACGTTTTTGAAAGCCCCAACCACGTCACGACGGAATGCGTCTAACAGCGCGGCCCCTCGTGCAGCAGTGTATTTTCGATGGGCGGCTTTTTCGAGACTTTTTACTTTTTCTGGTGCTTTCTTTTGTAACAATACGTTATTTTTAGGAGTGCTGCGATTTTTTGCTGTTGACAGAATCAGAGAACCTTTGGGGCAATTAATTGAAGGATTGAAGACATGCGGTCTATATGAAAAGCTTAAGCAATATCCCAGTATATTTAAAGATATATTTTGTTCTGAAATCACTCTCTCTTCAAAAATACTTGAAGAACTATTCCTCATCGTCTATACTGAACCTGGGACTAACACCCGTAGTAAAGAAAATAGGGTGATTTCCTATTTCAGGGATTATGTATTGGATTTGGAATGTATGTGATATAACATTTAATTTTTTAAATTTAACATGTACGGTTTTAGGTGACCCTACAAATATTGTCACACTTTCCGATCTTTTAGTCTTCTCAACAGGATTTTCTGTGTAATTTTTCGGCACGTTTATGTAAAAATACAATTGGTGTAGTATATATCCGTGATGTTACAACTGTAACATAATTAGACCGTAATTTTACGTAAAATCACTAAATCGTTTTAACAGTGCGTATCAAGTTCATCCTAGACAAAAAAAGGTTTAAGTTTAATGCTAATTATGGTGGTGTAGTTGGTTCGCTGTATGGTTTACTTGATTTGATCTTTGACAGCTGCTGATTAGCATTACTGATATCAAAAAATTACTTTTTATTACTGCGCAGTTCTACGCCTATCGAGTTAAAAATATCAAACGCGGTCATTCTTAAAAAATGATTTCTCTGAAACATTTTACATAATTCGTTGTTTTAGTTTTAACTAGTAGACAAAAATTCTGAACCTGGCTTCAAATAAGCATGCATTCAAGTATTATTACACATGGTGATTCATATTATAAGCATCTGGTGAACGACTTGTGTGGCCTTATACATACTACTACTCACCAAAAGCGTTATTATAAAAACCATTTTTTTATAAAATATTTTTTTTACATGTAAATTACGTCACGCTAATTTTGGGCACGCCACAGAAATAAATTAAAAAAAAAAATTAAAAAAGTACCCTAAAATTTTCTTTGTATACTTATTTAAAGCCCGGTTGAGTAACAACTGTAATAATGAATTATTATGTAAAATGTATTCTTATTCTATGTGTAAAATATTTCACAAAAATCATTATTATACCAGGGTCAAATTGTAGGTACTTAAATGGTGACATATATCCTTTTGAATACTAGCAAACATTGCATCTCAGATTGGATTAAACAGAAGTTATGTTACAGACCTTCGACAGAACCTGTTATTATCACTGTTAACAGTACTTATTAAATAATTATTGTTTATCAAAGACCGACTTACCTTTATAATATCTAAGAAGCAAAATTGTATAAGTGATTTATCCATTAGGCCTCCTGAGAATGAGCCCTCATCCTTTAAAGTATGAAATACATTCAACCAAAATTGCGAATGATGTTTTCTTAAGGTTGACCACCACGCCTCTATGCGTTGATTTGCATGACTTGTTCCCCAGATAACATTCGTGAGTTCACCGTGAATGCACGGTGAAAAATATTGCTTCACGCGTGAATTCACGGTTGCTAAAAGATGCGTCCGCCCCTGGAATTCACCGTGAATGCACACGTGAAGATATATCCGCCCATTGAATTCACCGTGAATGCACACGTGAAGATGCGTCCGCCCCTTAAATGCACACCTGAATTCACCGTGAATGCACACGTGAAGATGCGTCCGTCCCTTAAATTCACCGTAAATGCATGCGTGTTCTAAATTCGCGCGAAAAAAATGAAATAAGGGTGCATGTTCAGAAAACATATTTTCCCCTATAGAGTAAAATAAGTTTTCTGAACAAAAAATGTGCATTCAACATAATTTCAATTTTTTCGCGCGAATTTTAGCATGCATGCGCACTCACTTCGAGCTTCACTTGTGCATTTACGGTGAATTCAAGGGGAGGACGCATCTTCGCGTGCGTATTTACGGTGAATTTCGTGCGTATACTCAATTTTTTTTGCACTTAATTTTAAATTGGAACACAAAATAAAACGTGTTATTTTTTAAAATAACAGATTTTGTTATATTTGTAAATAAAGTCAAATGAAAAATGTTAAATAAAGATGTGATTTATGTCCAATTGGAAAATATTTTTTTAGACAATTATGCCATCCACGCCGACGGTGGTCTAGTGGTTAGTGCTGCTGACTACAAGCCGGAGGTCGTGGGTTCGAATCCCACCAGGGGTATGGCTGTTTATTTGTGTTTGTCCTATTGTGTATTAGTCCTTCGGACTTTAAAACCCGCGGTCCGTTCCTACCCCTAACCGGCACAAGCCATTCAGTTGGCTTATGGGACTTCTTAAGAAGTAAGGGTGGAACTAAAAGAGCACTTTTGTATAAACTTTGTATAATTAAACTTGAGGTACAATAGTATACTGAAATAAAACACAAAGTGTTATGTTGTAAAGTTTATTCCGAATCAACCTCAGAGGTTTCAATGTCCTCTTTAACCTTAAAAATAAATATGAATTATAACATCAATAATACTAATTAATGCATACATAATATATATTATGTATCACATAATACATTATATATATTATATATTAATACATTACATCTACAGATAAGTATACTTACTGATTCATCACTGGACACTAGGGTGATGCAAAAAAAAAAAATTTTTGAATTCTATGCGAGACCACTCGGGTTTTTAAAGAGTATCAAGAAAATAAAAATCTGTAAAAATTTGAGAGAAATCAATTAAAATTTAGAGGTCGCTCAACGCAATTGTTTAATTTAGAAAAATCACGCATCTCAAATGCATTGCTATAAACGAGTAGGCATATTTCATACAAATTTGAATGAAAATGGTTGAATTTTTTTTTGGTGAACTCTTAATGATTATTCTAATAAATAATGTTGTCCCGTTTTGAAAAAAAAATTCATAATATTTAAAAAATATATATTAATTGGCAAATATAGCTTAGTTAACAAATAATTCATTCAATTTTTTTTTTGTTTCAAAATCTGCAAAAACATTGTTAATAGGTCTACAAGCAATTATTCATTCACAAAAACACTCGCCCCCATCGTTAAATATGAGAAAAAAAAATAATATTTTAATTAACTACACTTCGCGTCAAATTTAACGCACCACTAAAAGTTTGTCACATTTTCAAAGTTGATTTTCTCGCGAACCGTCAAACCGAATTTGGTAATTTTGTTTTAAAATTGAGGTTTATTCTTTGGTTATGATGCCTTTATTAAAAAATTCTTTTAAATTTAAGTTTTGAGTATATACCGTAAAACCGAATTTAGTGATTTTTATAATAAATTGTAGGTTTATTCTTCGGTAATAATGCGTTTATTAAAATATTTGTTTAAATTAACATATTAAGTATATATAGGGTGCAAGTGTAATAATTTGTTTTTTTCCAGAAATTTGAAACGCCCTGTTGGTTGTACCAGCTATAACAGCATATGTCTCTTACAATCAAACTATAGCCCCATGTTCTCTTAACATTTTGTATTTTTATTCACCGGGTTATCTTTATTTTTAAATGAAATATACATTTAAAGATTAAGGTACCATGAATAGTGTACGATATATCGAGGACATTTTATTTGAGCATGTTGTCCCTTTCGCCCGGTAATAATTTTTTACTGATGCAGGATAATGCTATATAGTGCAAGAGTACTTACATGAGGTGGGTGTTAAAACTTTAGACTGGCCTGCAAATAGTCCGGATCTCAACACCATCGAGAATTTGTGGGATAATATGGGTAGACGACTAAGAAATCATGATTCCTTGCCTGCCTCCCTTGATGACGTAGCAAATATGCTACGAGAAATATGAAATGTCATTGATCAAGACGAGATTAGACATCTGGTTTCGAGTGTGAGCCGTCGATGTGAAGCCGTAATTAGAAGTAGAGGCAGAAATACGCGATATTGATATTCTTTAATGTTGGTTTTATTGATTTTGTTAATATTTTTGTTGTTATTGTTACAATCGTTCTTTTTACATTTTTGTATTAAACTGGAGCTTTAATCTTTAACTGTATATTTCATTTAGAAATAAAGATAACGCGGTGAATCAAAAAACAAAATGTTAAGAGAAGATGTGGCTATAGTTTGATTATAAGATACATATGCTGTTATAGCTGGTACAATCCACAGGGCGTTTTAAATTTCCGGGAAAAAACTTATTATCACTCTTGCACCCTGTATATACTCAAAATGTTAATTTCAAAAAATATTTTAATAAACGCATTATTACCGAAGAATAAACCTACAATTTATTATAAAAATCACTAAATTCGGTTTGACGGTTCGCGAGAAAATCAACTTTGAAAATGTGACAAACTTTTAGTGGTGCGTTAAATTTGACGCGAAGTGTAGTTAATTAAAATATTATTTTTTTTCTCATATTTAACGATGGGGGCGAGTGTTTTTGTGAATGAATAATTGCTTGTAGACCTATTAACAATGTTTTTGCAGATTTTGAAACAAAAAAAAAATTGAATGAATTATTTGTTAACTAAGCTATATTTGCTAATTAATATATATTTTTTAAATATTATGAAAATTTTTTTGATATCGGGACAACATTATTTATTAGAATAATCATTAAGAGTCCACCAAAAAAAATTTCAACCATTTTCATTCAAATTTGTATGAAATATGCCTACTTGTTTATAGCAATGCATTTGAGATGCGTGATTTTTATAAATTAAACAATTGCGTTGAGCGACCTCTAAATTTTAATTGATTTCTCTCAAATTTTTACAGATTTTTATTTTCTTGATACTCTTTGAAAACCCGAGTGGTCTCGCATAGAATTCAAAAAAAAATTTTTTTTGCATCACCCTACTGGACACATCATCAAATGAGTCAAATAACTCATCATTTTTCCCCTTATTTTAATTTCTTTTTGATCCTTAAAAAATATATAAATTATTAATATTAATGGATTAAAGCATTTATTTACAAGACTCATTTTATAAAATTTAATAAATATTATTTAAAAAACGCTTAGAACAAAAAAAATATTTGTTTTTGTGTATAAAGAAAAGTCTTGCGATAGCTAATAAAAATATTCTGTATTAATTAATTAATTCATTTATTTTATTGATTAAAAAATTGTAAAATATTTGTCGACTGTATATTTACTAATAAAAATATTAAAATGGATGTCATATTTTGAATTCAAATAAAAACAGTTTTTTCACAATTAATTTTTTAATTAAAAGTGAGAAAAATCTTTGTTACAAAAAAACTGTTGAAATTAAAATAAAAAAATATATATTTTAAGGTAATATTGTTACTAATGACT